AAAAACTAATGATACCAGACACCTGAAGTATTTCTCTGTCCTCACCTGCTCTGTCAGGAGTCACTTGCAGATGTTCTGCCATGGATAAATTCTCACAAGCAAATACCCATCAGAGTGTTATCTGGAGACTCTCTGCTCACAACCTCCTGTTTACATGCTTTCTTAAAACCAAAAATCTCTAAATAGTAATGAACCTTCAAAATTTGCTCCGTCTCTCCAGTATTCCCCTTTTCAGCTATTAACGTCAGAGTTTGCATTGTGTTTCAGCTTCATTTCTTTTTTCCCCTCCTGCCAGTCGGTACAGACGCTGATTTGGTGTGTCACTAGTGCTGTGCCTGCTGCCCGGAGCAGCTAGCCAGGTCCCAGCTGATGTTTAGCCCCTGCGGTACGTGCAGCAAAGTAGCTCGTTTTTCTGAATTTTCACATTTCACGGAAAGGGTTGTCAGGCACTGGAATGGGCTGCCCAGGGAAGTGGTCGAGTCCTCATCCCTGGAGGTATTTAAAAGACGGGCAGACAAGGTCCTTAGGGACATGGTTTAGTGGTGGGGTGTCAGGGTTAGGTTAAAGGTTGGACTTGATGATCTTAAAGGTCTTTTCCAACCAAAGCGATTCTATGATTCTCCCGAGCGGGGAGCCCAGAGCAGCCCCCAGCAGGCGCCAGCCTCGCGCCCTCGCCTTCCCTTCGGAGCCGCTCAGCCAAGGGGGGGACGAGCTCCGCCTCATCCCCGTGTTTCTGACCACCACCACCCCCCCGGGAGCAGCCGTGGCTGAACTTGACCCTTTGCAGTGCGTGGTGCTGCAAGCGGGGCGGCTCGGGGCAGGCCCGGCCGAGGAAAGGTGCTGTTGAAGTCAGAAGCAGCACCCTGGCACCCACAGGCCTCTCGGTGAGGTCAGGCTTCAGCCTGAGCCGGCCCTGCCCTTCTCTTCTGGTCTGGCTGTCCAGAGCAGGGCCTGCTTTGAACTCAGTCTGAAACTCAGCAAATACTAGTGCTGGTGGGCAGTCCCAGGAGAGATGCTCCAAAAGCTGGATTAGTGGGTTCCCAGCACCACAGACCAAGCTGCCTCAACAGATGGGAATGGAAGTGTTCCCCAAAACCTGGCAAAAGAACTAATGAAACCAAAGGTTTGGTTTTTATGAAAGCCCTTGAGAAGAGCTTAACCATTCTGTCAATGCTAGCTGAAATGGGCCTGACTGACTTGAAAGATTTTCAGGGGAAAAGACACCTGTGCAATGTTGTTGAAAAATCCCATTTTCTGTAAGAAACTAGACTAACTGTATCTTAACCTGCTGAGACTTCTGCAAGTTGCTTTTAACCTATGACATACGCAAACATTGAATGGAAGACTAGTGCACAGTGCAGGGCATCCTGTCGAAATGTGGGGCCTTTGTCAACTAAGCCATTACAGAGGGAGAAATACAACCCAAAAATTCTTAGGATTTTCCTATTGCTGCTGCAAATACAGGGCTCTTGCTAGTGATAATAAAGGTGCGGGCTAGCAGTGGCAAGCTCCATACAGAACAGTGAAGCACTACTGGGGTTTGATTAGATGTAGCTACAGAGAAAAGGATTTAGAAAATCATGTGTTGACAGTAAGAGACAAACTTAACTCTTTGAACCACAACGCCAAATTTTCCTTCCCTCTTAACTCACACTATCCTGTCGAATTCACGGGCTGCCCGCTTAAAATGGGAGAAGAAACCAACTGTTTTGCTGGGGGTTGTTTGGTTTTTGTCTTTTTTAACCTCTTGCTGGCCCCATTCTCCTGAACCAGCCACAGAATGATGCTGTTCTTGAAGGTATCAAATTAAACAGTGATGCCTGAACATGGATTTTCTTCTTAATTTGTTTCAGCGGATCACAAATATGTGGAATTTGACTTCCTTATCAATGGCCAGTTCTTGCGTATGCCGCTGGTCACGCACATGGAAATGGAAAATATCTCCACGGTAAGTCATACTCAGTTTCTCCCCATTTTGGACAGTAGAACAGACTTAGCCAGTTTACTTCAATCTGATTTAGGTTTTATGCTGTCATCCTGACCAGGTAGATTTCCTTGATCAGTTTTATTTCTTTTCTGACTTTCCCAGGTGCATTCCCTGTATGTTTAAATCCATTCTGCACTGCAAAGTCATTAGAGTATGGGACTGTGCAAGGAACGTCATTATCCAATCTGTTGTCTGTATACACTTCAGAGGGGGAATTCTTGTCTTATTCAGTTCACCATTAATACATATTTGTCACCTACTCTATTAGTTACATTAGGGGATAATGGGAGAGGTTAGTGTTACCTCTAGAAAATATTGTGAGGTATTTTAGACACCAGTTTTGTATGGGTGAATACAGAAGAGGAGGAACCTGAGAAGAGTGAAATTATTTGCTTTTGCTTCCAGCTTCCTAATAATAGTAATTTGATAAAAATATGGAAAGCAATATAATTAAGACACTTTTTTCTCAAGAATCTAATTCCATTAATGTGGAAAAGGTATCCAAAGATGGATACCAAGATCTTTGCCCAATAAACTTGTATATTTGCACCACACTACAGTTAAATGTTACTGTTTTGATTAATGAATAAGTATTTTGTCTGTGAGCTCAGGAAGAAGTGGTGGAAATCGAGTATGTGGAGAAATATATGGCCCCTCAGCCAGAGGAATGCATCTTCCACGATGACTGGATCAGTTCTGTTCAAGGCACTGAAGAATGGTACTGCACTAAGCCAATTCTAAGTTTTGTCTTGCTTATTTCTGTTGCATGCAGAGAACTCTGTGGTATCAAATGGAGTGGTATTCTATATGTTCAATAATTTTCCCCCTTGCTCTGTTTTTCTGGTTTGGGTTTTTTTTTTGGCTGTCAAGTCAGTCAGCTACTTGCTTTTGTAAGCAGTTCAGTTTTAACCCCTCTATTCCATGCTGACAGTGACTTTAACACAAGTAGAAAACAGCTAGTGTCACTGAACATGAGATGCTGTTAACACAAATGGATAATACCAATGCTGTTTGCTATTCTTTCTCTTAAGGGACAGCAAAACTTCCTCTTTTTAGCTTAAACCCTTAACTTCAAATGTGACATTCATTAGCAACAAGTATAATAGTGTACCTTTATGCAGAACTTTTCTTTTAAAAAAAACCCCAACCGTAATTGTCCTTTTCTACTGTATTTTCACATTAATTTTCCAATCAATTAGGCAATGTTCCTATATTAAGTAATGGTTTGAAAATGCTTTGAGATCCTCTACTATAAACAACAAACTATCTTTTATTTTAAATGATGTAAGCACTCTTAAGTCTTGCCTACCAGAATATGCAGTATTCTCATTGCTTTTCTTTTTGGCCTGTACTCCTAGCCTTGCAGTTGTAGGTTTTAATGAAGCTTTGCTTTGTAACAAAAATATTTTTACTTTTCCAAACTCTTTTTTTTCTCATTTTTAACACACAAAGTAGCTATATTTTGAATTTTTTTCAGCTAACCAGTTACTATGCTAATATTTTTCAAGTTTCTAGTTGAGGCTTTTTTTTTTTCATAAAAATATTGTTGGTTTTGAAGACAGTAATGTTTCAAATTCTGTACCCTGTAGGATATTAACTGGCTGCTATGATCAGACTGCTCGAATCTGGTCTTTGGAAGGAAAATCCATCATGACAATAGCTGGGCATACAGAAGTAGTGAAGGATGTGGCGTGGGTGAAGCAAGGTCAGTATACTTACTAGGGGAGTAGTAATAGTTTAATTTATTGGAGAAGAAATGTCAGCATTCCTCAACCATGAATATTAATTATCTAAATGCTACAATTACTTCGATCTCTGTCAGTGGTGTTAGAAATGAAGTCATGGTGCGAGTATAACAGTCCTTTAACAGTAATGAGTATAGTTAAACATGTACGTTGTCTATCCACCTTGCAGTCTTTGTTAGCAAATATCGGTACGTATATTTATATTCATTGTACTTGCAGGGTAACATGATGTAAACTGAGATATGTATGAGTTTCTATCTGCTGTTTCTTCTTGGACTAGAATAATTATATAAAGGCTGTAAAGGCTTTGGAAAGCTGAGTTGGGTGCAAGCATGATTTTTTTTTTTCTTCTTCAGATAGTTTATCGTGCCTGTTACTCAGTGCTTCTATGGACCAAACTGTCCTGCTATGGGAGTGGAATGTGGAGAAAAACAAAGTGAAAGCTCTTCACTGCTGCAGGGGACACGCTGGGAGTGTAGACTCCATAGCTGTTGACTGCACGAGAACTAAAGTGAGTGACTCCTAGAAAGAAACCTTTGTCTTTGGGGATGTTAGCAGCCCGTGTCTCAAAAATCATCTTTTTGTCCCTGGATAGGTACTAGTCTTCATGTTATTATGACTGATACACTGATAAGTTTCCAGTCTTGTTATAAATGGTAGTTATTGAGGATTAAGAGTGCTATATCAACACTAGGCACTTAACCTCTAATGTTACAAAAAGCTGAAAGTGACTTTAGATAGCACAAGCCATTATACTGCTGCTTTTGACTTCTGTGAGTGAAGCTGAATGTTTATTTTTAAGTAAATTCTTACTTTTAAGGCATGTCAATTTTGCATTATAATGAACTATTTTCAGATGTGACCTAAATTTTCATAGTAGTTTTGGTGGGGAAAAAAAATGTCAAGAGTGACACTCAGAGAAAGCAAGTGGTAGAAGAGGTCCTTTCCCTTTATCCAGGAATTCAACAGTTAAGAGCACTCACACCAAAGGTGGAGTCATTGCTACCAGCTTGACTCAATATCAGATAAGTTAAAATCAAACCTTTTTGTGCTGAAGGAAATAAAACCATATTTTTTAGATATTCTTCCTGCAAAGGAAGGAAAAAGAATAATTTGATCTATGCCAAATATGCTTTTTTTTTTTTTTTTTTTTGAGGAGCCCAGCACTGTTCTTCATGTGTTAGAAGCCATTGGTCAATTTTTCAAGCAGGAAGTGTACTTAGTATGGCTTACAAGGTCTGTCTGGATCAACTTTTAACAAAATGTTTCTGTTCATACAGTTCTGCAGTGGATCCTGGGATAAGATGTTAAAGATCTGGTCTGCAGGTAAGATAAGCATAAGCTGGGATTCTTGGCTCTCTTAAAAACCCCTGTACTTACAACAACCTGAAAGATGGACATCTGAATTCTTTTTTCTTTAAGAAAAATTGAGTTTGTAATATTAAAAGCAAGCTAGAACTTCTTTTGTAAGCTTTGTAAGGCTGTACATCACTATATAAAGTTACTGTTTTGGTTGGTAATGCAATTTCAGATATGATTATCAACTACATGATTATGTTGATTTTATTCAGAACACTACTTTTATCTTGTTTATTTTTAATGTGTTTATATAAATGTGCAGTTTTGAGTATAGACTTCTTACAAATCAAAAGTTTGTGCGTTATTTTCCTATTCTATTATTGACACCATTATATGGATGGACAGTAAGATGACCAGGTCTTTTCTAGAAATGTAGACTAATCCCATTTGAACTGAATGCTTGCTTTCACTGTTCCAAGTATATAGGTAAGTACTGTATCTAAAAGAAAGATTGTGTTTATCGTACACCTGAATTAATGTTGGAATTTTCCATGAGTAAGGATGGTCTTAAAAATTCATGGAGCCTTCATTTTAAAACTGCATGACCTGGAGAATATCACTTAATTTGTATTCGTTTTCCTCTTGCTGAAAATGGAGATAATAATGATCTGATCAGAGATGTAAAGTTAAAATATTCATGCATCATAGACAGGTTAGGTATTGTAAATACAGGGGTTTGCTTAATTAATTATATGGAAATAGAATTCAAAACCCTCTAGATCAAGTCTGATTGTCTTCTCTCACAGTGCCTACAGATGAAGAGGATGAAATGGAAGAAGCAGCTAACAGACCACGGAAGAAGCAGAAAACTGAACAGTTGGGACTAACAAGGGTAAGATGAGCTCCAGGTTTGTCCAGGACTTTATTTTACAAGTGTGGCCACACAAAATAATTTATCTTTGTTAAAAGTGCCTACATGAAAACTTACGGTGATATGTCTCAGGCTGATCAGACATGTATTTTTATTTGTTGAAATAATATATTTTTCTGACAATACTCAACCTAATCTCCTCTTACCTTTAAATTCTAGACTCCCCTGGCAACCCTGTCTGGCCACACAGAAGCCATCTCCTCTGTGCTGTGGTCAGATGCGGAAGAAATTTGCAGTGCATCATGGGACCACACCATTAAATTCTGGGATGCTGAGACTGGAGATCTCAAATCAACTTTGGTGAGATGATTATACTTTGGCCATAGGGTCAGCTGAAGTCCAGCTCAGAAAAAAAAATTGTGCAAAACACTAGCTCCTCCCTTAGAGCTACTATTTTCTCTTCTGACAGACAGGAAACAAAGTGTTTAATTCTGTCTCCTACTCACCCCTGTGCCGACGCCTCGCATCCGGGAGCACTGACAGACATATTAGGCTATGGGATCCTCGCAGCAAAGGTGAGCTAAAACGTTTCTTTTTTCAAAATCAGAACTTCTTCCTGCTGGGAGGCATCTCACAAGCTGTTTTCTGGTCCCTCTGCTTGAAACAAGCCCTTTGGGAGCTTTTATTAAATAAAAATATTACATCTATTTTCTGTGATAGTGTGTGAGACTTCTTTTGATTTCTCACCCCTGCCTTTTTTTTTATTTTTAAATTACTAGTGAATGTTCAACTGTGCAGTTGCAGGCCTGAACTTTTTTTTTTTTTGTAAGGTTCACACCTAAGTTGGTCAGATCATCATTAAAGTGAAATAGCAGTCACTTTGTTATGATATAGTGGTGCCATGTCTGACAGGATGGCAGATAACTTATGACTGAGCCTACCAGATTTATTTCATAGACATGTTTACTTGTTTAGCTTCTATAAAGCTAATCCAGAGTAAAACAATATTACTTACATGTTAATAATAAAAGGGTTTTTTTTAATTTGCTTTTTTCAAATATCTTTGAAAAGAGAACTTAGTGACAAAATACATTTTGAGTTTTGTTTGGTTTGGTTCTTTCTCC